TTCCTCAGGAGATAGTTCATGCTACAAGCCCAGCATCCTCTAGCACAGGGGTTAGTGCATGGCGCAAGAGCTTGTCTGCCTAATTTAAATAATTCAATTAGTTGATTAATTTCACTATATTTATTTGATCACACTTTATAGACGTTATTTGCAGCCTACACATTTGTATGTCGAGACAGTGTATGTTGTAATGTAATATATTTAATATTTATTTTATTGAGTTATCTAGTTATTTTCATATCGGTTGTAATAACTATGCAATAAGCATTACTGATTACTGAAACAGAAACAGGAAATAATTAAACAAGAGAGACCAATGCTGACAAACCTTCACTACAAGCATCTGGTTAAACTGGTAACTCAGCCACTGAAGTCCCCATGCTTTAACTTCTACTACTACCACTTAAAAAGGACAACTATGTCTAATTAATCAAACACAGGACAATTATGCTCAAAGATCTTCATTATTTTATTATTTATGAACCTACCGTTAAACTGGTCACTCAGCCACTGAATTTCCATGCTTTCACCACCCTTATTACCACTTAAAAAGGAGAAATATGTCATGCAAATCAAACACCGGACGCACCAAACACAGGGCAGCAACGCTCAAAGATCTTCAGTCTACAAACCTCTGGTTAAACAGATAACTGAACCACTCTATTCTATAGAGACTTTAAGAGATTTGACAGTGGGCTATTCAAGACAACATTAAGTCAGGTAGATTGGTCTCCAGATTTTGCTACTAGCGATGTCAATGAGTGTGTAGCTAGATTCCTTCACATTTTCAATCGGATAAGTAATCAACATGCCCTGTTGAAATCAACTAAGGTGAAAAATTGTACTTCCAAACCATGGATAACTCCAGGTTTGAAAAAGTCAATGAAGCTGCGTGACAAACTGTACAAAAAATGGTTAACAACACGAAATATACTGTTTTTGAACAAATACAAGTTTTATCGTAATAAAATAGTTTCCTTAAATAAATATTATCAAACCTTGTAATATAAACTTCATTATTAACAAAAGGCGCCCTTCTTCTCATATTGACAAACTCCAAATTGATGACAAAGAATATTTACAACCAAATTCTACTTCTAATGTTATAAATAAATATTTTTGCAACATACCTAGTCGACTTGCCTCTAAACTGCCTAAATCAAATCGTCATTTTGGCTCTTTTTTAAAATCGACTGGATCTAAATTTCGTTTTACATTAATGCACGAAATAGAAGTTTTCTAATTCTTGATAATCTTGATGATAAAAAGTCGTTTGGTGTAGGTAAACGTCACCCTTTTTTGGCCTCTGTTGTAGCATTTCAGATTTTTCGTCCTATAACGTATATAATTAATCTGTCCATCAAGCAAAGAACTTTTCCTGATAATCTAAAAATCGCTAAAGTGATTCCTGTCTTTAAACAGGGATCCCGTTCACTGTTTGATAATTATAGACCAATATCAGTTCTTCCAGTATTAAGTAGAGTTTTTGAAAAATGTATTTATAATCAACTTATATCCTATTTTTCGTCTGAAAATATCATCACTCCTACTCAATATGGGTTTAAGCCAGGCAGTACCACTGTGGACTGTCTTGATCTCATTGAAGAAATCTCTACCTCTCTAGATCAAGGAGATTATGCTGTATCAATATTTTTAGATTTGAGTAAAGCATTCGATACCATTAATCATTCGATTTAATTATCAAAGTTATCGTTCTATGGCATTCAAAAACCTCATATCGTCTGGTTCAAATTGTATCTTAATAAAAGAAAGCAGAGAGTTTTTGTAAATGGTAACATTTCTGACACCATGCCAATTTCTTCTAGTGTACCTCAAGGATCAATTTTAGGACCGTTGTTATTTTCGATATATATAAAGGATTTTTCTCAATCTTCTGATATCTTCTCAATGAGACTATTTGCAGACGATCCCTCTTTAACAGCTTCAGCTAAAAATATAGATGAACTCTTATTAAAGATAAATAAAGAACTACCTAAGATTTATGACTGGCTATGTGCAAATAAATTAACCTTAAATCTAAGAAAAACTAAATATCTTATCTTTCAACCTCGTCAGAAAGTATATTTAATTTACTACCTCCGCTATCAATAGCTGCCCAATGCTTAGAGCAAGTATCCAAAATTAAATACTTAGGTACTTATATTGACAGCCACCTATCGTGGCCTGACCATATCGACTATGTTTGTGATAAAGTCAGTAAGAGTATTAATATTATGACAAAGATAAAAAGTTACCTAGGAAATCAATGTTTAACTAGTATTTACTATTCTCTTGTTTACCCATATCTCATATATGGTTGCTTATTGTGGGGAAATAATTATGATAATCCATTATCACAGCTCATACGTGTACAAAATAACGCAGTTAGAATAATGATTGACGTTCCCTTACAAGATCATATCACTCCTCATTATATTCATCTAAGTTTATACAATTGTTTGTTTTTGTATGATTATGTCTCTGATAATAAGCCATGCAATTCTCCATTATTTCTTGTATCTGAGCAACATAATTATTTTACACGAACTACATCTGCTCAATAATTATCAATTCCCCACTAAAGAATTAATATTCGAAAGTTTTCCTCTACCGTCATTGGAAAATACTATTGGAACGATCTCCCCCTTTCTATTCGCAATAAATCATCGAAAATCCTGTTCAAAAAGGCACTTAAAAAATATTATCTTGCTCAATATTGACTTGTGTGCA